GGCCTCGGCTGGGGCATGGTGATGATGACGGCTCTCTTCTGTGTCTACTACAATATCATCCTGGCGTGGGTCCTCTTCTACATCTTCGCCTCCTGCACTGGGTCCCTGCCGTGGGCGACCTGTGACGGCGATTTCAACTCTGTGGGTGAGTCACCATAGGCCGGGGTTGGGATTCCATGTATGCATATGTGAAATATATACATACGTGCTTAGTTGTATACATAAATGTATTTATATATATGTGCATATATTTATATATGTGTGTGTGTTTTATGTGTGTGTGTGTGTTTGTGCATATATATGTGTGCATGTATGTGTGTGTGTGTTTATGCGCGCGCGCGTGTGTGTGTGTGTGCGCGCGCGTGTGTGTGAGTGTGTGTGCGTGTGTGTGTGTGTGTGTATGTGTATGTGTATGTGTGTGTTTGTGCGCGCGCGCGCGTGTGTGTGTGAGTGTGTGTGTGTGTATTAGGGGTACTGTTTTTTTATAGGCAAACCTTGCTTGATTAGTGTCATCCTATGTTTATTTTATGTTTGGAGCGTTATTCATATGACTATATTTACCAGTTGCAGATTTTCCAGTTGCAGGAATGGAGCGAAATCCTCGATGGCGCCCATTTAGCTGATCCTGCAATGCTTATGGTACAATTTTGTTCTGCCTTGAAGGTAAACTTTCTTTTCCGTGATCATTGTGATCATGTATCACTTGTTCATTTCCATCTATGATTGTATTTTACGACGCATTCTAAACCTGGAAACTGAGAAATATGCAAACAAATAGAAGAGAAAGTTTACGAAAATCTGCCTCGAGATTAGTCAGTCATCGTTTGAGTAAGTTAAGAAAAAGATAAAAAGTTTCTCTGTATTTCTCAATGGACTCGGTAATTTAAGCCATTCGACGTTTATAGAAACAGGCATAGAACGTTTATGTTCGCCTGGTGTGGAAGGTAGTGCAATTGATTTTTTTTTTTTTCTGCAAACACTTTTTTCAGAATAGCATTGACAAAGATGGAGCCATGCAGCCATATCTCTCCAAAACAAAGAGAAACAACAGAAACAACAAATTTCCCACATAAAAACAAAAGAGAAAAACACCAAAAGCTAGATAAAAAAAAATCCCCGCTAACATCACTTTCTCTCTCGACCCTTTCCCGGCCCGAAGAGTGCTACAGCCAGGACGCAGCCGCAGCGTGCAGGAATGAGTCGCTGTTCTTCTACAACAAGACCTGCATCACCGTCGACGAGTACTGTGGCCTGCGAGGCCTCGGCGCGCACAATGCAACCCACTGTTTCGACCCGAGGAACGAATCCTTTGGTGTTTCTGAAGCTGAAGGAAGCATCCCGAGGATCTCGCCAACGGAGGATTATTTCAGGTTATAGGAATTGCTTTTGGTGAATTAGTGTTGATGCTGAGGATGACGGGGCGAAGGTAAGAGTGAGAATAGGATGTAAGGGATATAGTATAATGTGATGGTATTGGTATTACTGGTGCTATTTATGGTTACGGTAAAAAGGATTAAGCGGGAGGATTAACTGATAACTAATGATGACAATAACTTAATGAGAACAACAAAAGCAGCAGCAACGGTAGGGGCACGATAAACAGAGCAGAAGTAGCAGGAACATGAACGGCAGATCATGTCCCTGCAACAGTATAATAACGATATCGCCATTATTAAAGTAGTAGTAGTAGCACAGCTGTAGTAGTAGAGTGAAGGTGGGAAGGGGGGGGGCAGCAGAGGTATCGGCAGCAGGAGTTACTGCAGTGGTAGCATTAGCATTATCATGAGGAACAACAGTAAGAAGTATTTATAGCAGCAATGGAAACAGTATCCGCTGCCGCAGTGTCACAAGAACGGTATTTCCAATTAATGAAGCAGCAGTTTATGCAGCAACAACAGGAATAATAGCAGTACTATTGGAATTAGGAAAGATATACGTAAAGGCGGTAGACGGAGACGGAGAATATAAAAATGGTAACAGCAGTAGTAATTGTAGCGGTAGTAACAACGGCAACAGTACTGGCAATAACAGCGACAGCAACGTTAATGATAGAATTTTATCAACACTCGACTGATCTTTGTCCTTACCCGCCGTGGTGCCCAGTCAGAGCAGTAACCTCAAGGCGACAATTGCAACCTCTGACCCGTCGGATGAGAGGCCGACACGTTGCCACTGTAATGGCCGAGAGGCTGTTCAGATTGGTGATGGCACTGGCTCGAAATACCGGTGTCATTCAGGCACATAGCAGTCAGTCAGTCATCAAATTTACCTCATTAAATAAAACTGAGTATATATAGTAGTTGCTAGCGTTACCATAGTGTTTGCAGTAGTAGTATAGTAGTAAAAGTAATAGTATTTGTAACAGTATCAGCAGTAATTGTATTAGTATTACATGATTTATAGAATAAGTTATATACATTAGATTCCCGAATAACATGATCATGTCAACTGCCAACGGACAATGATATTTCATCATATCTTCTCTACATTAACTTGGCGCGGTGTTCTCAGGCTGATTTCCTAGATATGATTACATGCATATTCAACACAGGCAAGGGACTGAGCAATGAATATATGAGATTATTAATGAATATCGAATGAATACATTAATCTATGGAAACAGATCAAAGAATCCTTAACAAACAAATGGTTATCCCCTCTCTGCTCCTTAAAAAAATAAAAAAATAAATTGATGATAAATGAATAGATAGATTAGATAATAATTACAAAAAAGAAAGGACCCAAAAATGGAACCAAAGCCCTACCTTTCTAATACCATATAAACCCCCTTCGATGCCCCGCAGGAACCGCATGCTCGGCGTGAAAGGGCGCTCCTGGGAGGACATGGGCGGCATTCGCTGGGAGCTCGTAGGATGCCTGGCCCTCTCCTCCATGCTGGTGGCGGCCAGTCTCATCAAGGGCATCAAGTCCTCGGGAAAAGTGGTGTACGTCACCGCCACCTTCCCTTATGCGGTGCTGCTGGTTCTTCTTATAAGAGGTCAGGTCGTCAGAGGCTGTTTTTCATTTGTTTCTATGCTGTATTTGTCTCTTGATCTGCCAACTTGTCTGTCTGTCTCTGCCTCTCTCTCTCTCTCTCCCACTCTCTCTCTAACCCCTCCAGTGACACGATCTTTGTTAGATGTTTGGATGGTATAATAGTATAATGGATGCCGACCTGTCGTTTATTCTGCCTGCTGCTTTGTAATAGGCTGAGAAAGTTGAAGGACCATGATGATTAGTAGGAAGGGACGGGCTGTAGGGAATTGTCATTTCTCTTTCTTTCTGTTTTATTTTTTTTTACGGTCGTCTTCAAATTCCATATTTTCCACATCATCTTCAGAGTTTAGGTGTTCCATAGTATCTTCAAATCTCATATTTTCAACATGACCAATAATTCCCATATTTTGAAGATAGCCATAATCCTAAGTGTATATTAACTTTTCTTTCCTTTATTTAAGTTTACTATAAAATTAATATTCTGCATTGGCCTTCAGTTTTACTGATTTGAGTAAAAGAGTTTCAATAGTTATCTGTTATCAAATCGACTCTTTTTGACTGAAGTTTAAAAATACTTCTCTTGCATTTTCGCAATGACATGAAGAAAGAATATATAATTCTCCACTTCTACCAGGGGTCACTCTCGAAGGCGCTTACACGGGTATCGAGTTCTACTTCCTGAAGCCCGACCTGTCCCGCTTGAAGGAGGTGGAGGTGTGGAGTGATGCTGCGACCCAGATCTTCATCTCGGCCGGAGTGTCGTTCGGGAGCATCATGACTCTGTCGTCCTATAACAAGTTTAGCAATAATTGCATGAGGTGAGAGAGACGATTCGTGTCATCTTTATAGGTCGTTCAAAAAGAAAAAAGGAAGAAGTATTTGTGGAAATCATTTAGTTATGTAGATAGATAGGGTGCATAAATAAATAGTTATACAGATAGATGAATGTATAAATAGATAGGTGGATAGTGAAAATGTTTATTATGATAATAAACCGAAACTGATCGTACTAAACCCGCCCCCAAGGTTCATATAAACAGGTAGCTCCACTTCCATTTAGCCTATTAACCCCAAAAATTAAATTGTCTTTTTTCTCGAGTGACGTTATTAATGGTAAGGAACTCTTAGTTGTCATAAATAAAAGAGGAGAATTTGGTTTTACTTTAGGTAAGTAGAACAGTATCGAGTAAATTATACAAAAATTATGTATCTAGCTATATCTAATATCTCATAGGGCAATCCCATTAGCACGCCATTAACTCTACCCCTTGTTGATTCCAACAGTTTTTGCAATATTCTATGATAAGTTTAATGTCAATGCATTTTCTTTGAAAACGGTTCAGTAATAATGTTAAAACAATTTCCAAAAAAGAAACCAAGAAAAAAAGAAGTAAAATATATCTAATATTTGCAATGAATAAAGGCGGTGAGGCGGAGCTTAACTCAGAAGTCGCCAACTAGATGGAGTGGGTCGACCGGTATAAAGATGCTTTGTGCCTCCCCCAGAGACGCCATCGTCATCACCATCACCAACTGCTCGACGTCCGTGTTCGCTGGCTTCGTCATCTTCAGCATCCTGGGCTTCCTGGCGACGGAGCTGGGCGTGGAGGTGCAGGACGTCGTGTCTTCGGGCTCCGGCCTGGCCTTCATCGTGTACCCGGCCGCCGTGACGCTCATGCCCTTGTCGCCGCTGTGGTCCATCCTGTTCTTTGTCATGCTGATATCGCTTGGCTTGGGGACGCATGTGAGTGCTGGTGGTGAGGGCGGTGAGGGGGGTTAGGGTGGCGGGAATGGTGGTTGGGGCATGGATGTGGTGGTGGGGATGGAGACGGAGATGGAGGTGATGGAATGGTTGAACTCAAAAACATGGAGGTGATGGTGGTGGCTGAATCATTTGTTAATCTGACTGATTGTATCGAACATTTCAATTAAAACAAATCATACTTGCTTGAACAGAAAGGTATAAGGAGAAAAATGTATAAAGACTCGCAGCTAAATTCTTA